AGAGGGGAGCGAAGTACGTGAACGAGAAAGGAGGAAAAAAGGAAAAACACGTAAGGACACGAAATATACGACAGAAAATTGCACCCCAAGGAAATGGAATTTGATTGCCGCCTGCGAGTGTGCATTCCAGAATTCCCATTGAGACAAAGCTTGCGATCCCAAATACTCTTTTTACCTCTTTACAATCCTTTTTGTTTTTCTTCCTTTGGCGGTTTGTCTTAGGGCATTCTCACACTTGCACTTTCCTAAATCTATGACTGGAATTAGGGCCCGACCTGGATGCATCTGACTGCCATTACGTCCAGAACCCAGTCGAAAAAGTCCTAAATGTGAGTATGCCACGGTCCCATTCATCGCTGGCCACCCTCCGTCGGCATTTTCTGAAATGACGCTTCGCTTTCCATGAAAGAGAGCGTACAAGGGGAAGGACGTCTCTGGCGGGAGAAGGGTGGAGGGGAGGAGGTCCCATTCATCGCTGGCCACCCTCCGCCGGCATTTCCTGAAATGACGCTTTCCATGAAAGAGAGCGTACAAGGGGAAGGACGCCTCTGGCGGGAGAAGGGTGGAGGGGAGGAGGAAAAAGCGAGGGGTCGGCAGAAGTGGAAGAATATGTACACTCCAGCTGTGCGATTTCGATACTCCCCCTATCATGTTCCCTACCGCCGAAAAGGACTGTGCAAGCGGTTATCTTACTTTCCTAATTACGAATACAATTAAGAAAGTGCTTTCATGGAATTCTCTAATAAAAAATTCGTTTGCTTTCCAAGTCTTTAATTACTCGCTTTTACAAGCCTGCCATGAACGGCCCGCGCTCCTGCGTGCGAAAGAATCTATACACATTGTCACGCACCCACCTACCAGTTCTTACTACTGCCTTCCCCCGAACACAACCCATCCTCCTCCTGACTGTATCGAACTGGAAAAATACCTTGTATCCATTGCTGCTTAAGGATGTTTGTGTTCGGGAAAGGACGTTAGGATTGCTTTTGGACGGAAAGAAAAAGACAAGTCGATACAATGTACGCGCAAGATCGAAACAATGGAGTTAAGGGGCGCGCGGAAGCCGGGGGAGGGGGGAGGGGGGGGGAGAGCCGAGCGGGCGGAGGAGCGCGGGGGGGAAAGGAAACGGGGGTCAAGTCTATACGTTGGTTGCACGTACTCGTAGGGGGAAAAGAAAAACAAAAAAAGAAAGAAAAAAAGAAAAAAAAAGAAAAAACTCCGTTGGTTTTGTCTGTTTTTTCCCCCCCCTACGTTGGTTGCACGTACTCGTAGGGGGAAAAGAAAAACAAAAAAAGAAAGAAAAAAAAAAACAAGAAAAAAAAAAAGAAAAAAAAAAAAAGAAAAGGAAGTTCGGTACAGCTCCGAGTTTGCAGTTCTTGGGCAAAGTTTAGTTTTGTGGCAATTTTCTCCGCTCAGAGTTTTCGAATTACGAAACTCGTTTCCAGATTTTCCGCAAAAAAAATTGACGACTTTTCCGCTCATACGGTCATACCTTTATTTTTTCATCACAAGACTATGTGGCTTTGCATGTGAGATACGTCCAATCATATCAGCAGAGCAGCTCAATGCGATCATCTTCCAAACTCTGCTGCACAAGTTCGGACATTTGACAAAGAAGCTTTCGAGGCCGAAAAACGAAACAGTCGACAACGAAAGGAAGCGGTCCCACAGAGACACGAAACTTCCGTTTTCCAGTTTCTTTTCCAGTGCCCGATTATTTATTTATTTTTTTTAAGTGCCCGATTATTTCATCAACCCCTTCTCTCTTTTGTATGTTACACCAAAGAATAAAAACTCCGTTGAGATTAACATAACATACGTAGAGTTAACACCATTGTCTTTAGTAAGTTAAGTGTACCACAATTATGTATCATTACACTTATATACAAAAGATGCAATCATTGCCAATCAACATGTGCATATTCAATACTACTAAAATGTATATTGAATATTCATTTAACATCATTGTTACTCAATAATGTACCATGTCCTTCGGAACGTCCATTAACATGGGAACAATTGGCATGGCCGTTCGGCGAGCAATGACACGCAAAAACCGTTTTTTTTTTTTGGGGGGGAGGGGGGGGGGGGGGGGGAGGGAACAACGTAATGTACACGTCATTATTACGTTACATAGTAATAGTAATAGGATGACAGAGAGTAATACTAGCAATGCGACAATACATAGGGCCTCGCTCCATTATTCACCCAAAATGCAAAATGAAAATGAATCTTCCGCCAGAACATGGGAAGGTACACCACCAAATTGTTCGTCTTTTGTGCCTGTGGTGACTAGTGGAGCGAGGCTCATAGTCATAACAGACCGCTCGTGTCGAAGGACGAAGAAGAAACGCCGGTGCCCGCTGTTGATGGAGGAAGGTTACTTTTATTACCGTAGTAAATGTTTAGTAAATTACTTTCTTATAAATTTCTACTGAGCAACTACTAGTACGTGGGTCAGTATGGGCGTGAACAGGGGCGGGCGATTAAGAGGGATGCAATAGGAGCATGGCAACAGCAGCAGAAACCAGCTATGGAAGAACAAAGAAAAAGGACAGAGGAAAGGGAGGCAAGCGCCAATACATGCGGGAGAGGAGAAGAGGAAAACATAACGTGACTTAAACCACCAACGACCAGTTTAAATCCCCAGGACTCTCCTTTTAATTTCCCTTAAAAGGAAGCATCCACTTTTTCTCCTTTTAATTTCCCTTAAAAGGAAGCATCCACTTTTTCAGATGTGACCTGTTGGATTGTATCTCCTACGCCTTTCCCTAAGGCTGCGAATCAAAACGGAGAAAAATAAGAAGATAGAGGAAATGGAGACAGAGGGAGAGAGACAAGAGCCAGGGAGGCGAGGAAAGAGGGGAGAGAAAGGACGGGGGGAGAAGGGGGGGAAGAAGGCGGATCTTACCGCATCGTTCTTTTCTGCAATCTGCAGGTGTCCGCACCTGTTCTACAGACCAGGTCACAAAAGGCTAGTCCTGGTTTAAGAACAGAAACAGAAGAAAGGAAGAAATTTGAAGCCAGGTGCTGTGTATGACACACGGGTCTTTGCTCGAACGAGAACGAGCGGAAAAAAGGGATTTGAACCCTGAACCTGCGCCATCATTCGGCAGATGCAAGTTGGATCTATCTACGACGAGAAAAGAAGACCGCGGAAACAAAACCCACGGTGCGACAGGGAGAGAAGACCAGACAAGTTTGACGACAAAAGAGGTGGACCGAAGCGGACAAAAGAAGCAGTCGCCTAAACAGGAGAGACGAAGAAAGAGAAGGAAGAGATTGCAGCAGTGACAGAAACAGGACAGAGTCGACAAAGGAGGAGCCACGTATTATCCGACCGTGGACGACAGAAAAAGAGGAAGAGGACAGACGGGCACATTGCTTAATTGCTTGTTGTCCAAACAAAAAATGTCTCCAGAACAAGAAAAAACTGACAGAAAAAGGACAGGATAGACGGATTGTGGGTCGCCCGACGAAAACACGTGTCCAGAATACGCAACATTTACAGAAAAAGGGGAAGAGGATAGAAACACTTGTTGTGACGAAAATATGTCCCCAGGATAAGGGAAAACGGTGAGCAGTAAGCGGTAAAGGGCAAGAATGAGAAAGAGGACCAAAAAACAACAGCGGAAACATAACAACAAGAGATAGCAGGACAAGAAAAGGAATGGGCACAACCAGTAAACCGGTATGTCCCCAAGCGTGCGGGAAAAATAGAATGAAGACAAGAAATTGAAAAAAAAATGGAGAAAGCGAGGCCCGTCCATGATCCAGATGGAAATCATTACACCAACTCCACGGACATGTCAACAATGCTCTCAATATAAACATTTTAATAGAAGAAAAAGACCAAAGAAGAAGTCGCGCAGCCTCGTCCGCGAGAAGGACAAGATAGGCGGGGCGCGGGGGGGGGGGGGGGGGTTGCGCGGGGGGGAAGAGCACTAACAGACATAAGAACAGAAAGGAGGAAGGCCCGACCGCAGACGGTGAAAAGGAGAAAACGCATGTCGTGGAGCGGCAGTACCGGAGACAAAGGAAAGAAGAAGAAGAAAAAGAAAGAAGAACATGACCAGCCTGGGAGAAAAGGAAAAACAGCACGTCCTAACAGCCGACAAAAGAAAAAGGAGAAGAGCAGATATCACAGGAGTCCGACCCCACGACCAAAGCAGCAACAGCAACAGGACAGGAAGAAAGAAGAGGAGAAGCTAGGGAAGAGATCGTTACGTCGCGATGCGTAACGTTGGAGACGTCCGGACGCAATCCATCGATCCAGCGATTGTTTGATCGATTGATTGATTGATTGATTGACCTACTGACTGATTGATTGATTGATTGACTGATTGATTTGATGGATTGATTGGATTGTTGATTGGACTGATTAGATTGATTGATTAATCTCACCTGAGGATTTGCTCAACGGTCAGTCTTCCTTCTCCCATTCGCATTACCATCTGTACGGACGCCACGTGTTTTTCCATGACTATGCACAATTTGCCGTCCTTCTCGCAAACCCCGTACAACGTGCACACATTCTGACACCACATCGTCGCTCTTCTCAGATTGTCCACCCTCTGAGTGATCCATTCAATGTTCACTCCTGCTGGCATATCCATTTTCTTCACCGCCACCTTGTGCCTGCAGCCCCCATTTCCCGTCAGCAAAGCCACCCACACTTCCTGTCCCGGACGCGAAGCAGAGGAGCCGATCATTTTGATGAAACGCAGATTATGCGCCGATACTTCCAAGAAGCTTCCATTGCACACCGGAGACCAGGCCGGACTTTGTAGCAACGGTGTCGTCCCCCGCGATACCCCCCCTCCCCCTACCATCCCGGCCCCAGTTCCCCCGCTTCCGCCGATCGACGAAGGGAACCTGCTCCCGCTGCTGCTGCTCGTATATCCTCTCCCACCTCCTCCACCGCTCCCCATCGCTTCCATCATCATCAGTTCCTCTTCACTATCCGATTCCTCCTCTTCCAGCCCACACCCTCCCGACGCCCTCTGCCGTATCAACGACAACATCCCAAAGTTCTTCCTTAGCGCTTCCACACTGTTCCCCACCTTCGAGATCTGACGACATCGAGGACATGGCAGCGTATGATCGCTCGATTCCGCGAAGAGATGTGCTAAACACTCTTTGCAAAAACTGTGTCCGCAGGTCAGCATCATCGGAGCGCGATCGTCTTCATTGTACGTCATCTGACAAACGGAACACGTAGGCAGCTTCATGGTCGCAGTGGTGACCAGGTACACCGACTGGGTATGTACTAATTACCTCCTCCCTTCCCCCTTCCCCCTCTGTCTCCCTCCCTTCACCCTCTTTCGCCCTCGCTTTCCCCTCTTCTCTCTCCCTCTTCTCCCTCTCTCCTTTGTCGGTCCGTTACTCTCTATTCTCCCCCAGCTACATGCCCCTTCCTCCCTCCCTCGTTTCTTCGATTGCCCAAGGTACCGATCAGTGGTGACAAAATACACACACCGACTGGGTATGTACGGATTACTTCCCTCCTTTTCCCGGCTCTTACCCTCTATTCTCCTTCCTCGACATGTTCTTCGCTTCGCGTTTCTTTCTATTAATAAGGTACAGTCAGTGCTGACGTGGTGGTACCCCGACTGGGTATGTACTGGTTACTGCCTTCCTCACTTACTTCCCCTTATCTTCCCCGCTTCTCCCCGTCTCCCCTAAGTCGTCCATTACTCTCTTTTTCCCTCCTCGACATGCCCCTCCCTTCCTCGTTCTTTCTATTGCTTTTCAAAGTACCACTAAAGAAGCGAAAAAGGACTCCGCACTCCTCTGCTGACTCTCTTGCGCCTGTACCGTGGTCTCTCCTCTGCCTCCCCTTACACATGTCCTTCACTCCCCATTTTCATCGTCTTCTTGGACGGTCCCACTACTCAACTCGCTCCTCCTCGTCCAAACCCCTTCCCACCCACTCACCCACGCCCGCTCTCTCCTTCTTTCCTTCAGCGTTTTGAGCCGAAAAACACGAAGTGCGGCACTTTTCCCCCACTAACACCTCTCCTCCTCACTGCCGCCCTCCCCTCCCTCTCCCTCCTTTCGCACCGTTACGTCTCGGCCTCTTTTTTACAAAACAACAGACTACAGGTCTGCCGTCTCTCTCTCTCTCTCTCTCTCTCTCTCTCTCTCTCTCTCTCTCTCTCTCCCCTCTCCCCCTCGTGCACGGAGCCACACAAAACGGAGGATGACCCAAAGCCTCCTAGAGGGTGTCGTTCAGCCTCAGAAAAGTGAAGTGGACCGGCGGATCGGCAAGCGTGAGACTGTTGAACAAATCCAAACAGAGCAAGTAGAGAAGATAGGACGTGATGTGAAAACAGAGTAGGGAGGGTAAGGGGAGGAGGACGATACTGCGGAGGCAACGACAACAAGCTTGACTTTCTACAGAGAAGAGGACAGGTAGCAGTGAAGAGATGTGAACCGGAGCAGAGAGAGCACAGGAAGTACTCGTGCCTAGCAACAAATTGACCACTATTCGGCGCAAATATATTAACCTACTGTACTCTAGCTCTTGCCTCTACCTAGAGATAGATGGACTGAGTTCAAATGTACTAACCTACCCTAGTAGCTTGGCTTGATCTGGATAGATTGCACTAATCTGAGGTTAACTTATATTAAAGAAAACCAAAAAAAAGGGACTCGAATACAATTACAGCAGTCATGCTTAATTCAACAAGGGCGTGGCGTAAGATCTCGCGGCGCTCTATGTATACATGTATACATACACTGTGTGACGATATATATGGGTATGTGTCAGGTAAACGAAAGCCAGTGTTCCGGTATAGAGACGAGAGCGCCTAGGGGTGAGAGATCAACGCAGAACGAGATTGCCACGAGGATGCCGCCTACAGCCGCAGTGATGCTATCGTTGATATCCAGTCATCGCGAGCTCCTTCCCTTTCTTCGTGTTTCTCCGTCCTCACCCTCTTCTCTCTCTTCTTCGTGCTCCTCGCCTCCCTCTCCCTCCACTCCCTATTCTCTCCTCTTCGTATATCCTCTGATTCCCTCCTCGTCCTTCCCGTCTCGTCCTCTTCTCCCTCTTCCCTCCTCCCTCCTCTCCTTCCTCCTCTCCCTCTATTTGTTCTTCTTCGCTCTCCCTATCCCCTGCTCTCCTTCCTCTTTCTCTTCCCCCTCAATTTAAAGTATGTGATCTTCAAAGAGCGATCAGGAGGTGGCGATTTCAAACGAATTTTGGCAGATGAAAAGTGAATTTTGGCATGAATCAATGAATGGCACCAGAGACAGAAACCGGGGGGAATGTGCGCAAGTCAGTGGTGATCGTGATACTGGTGGTGGTGATATCGATGATGATAATCATGATAATGATTGATAATGATCGCTAATGATTGCTAATGATGATAATGATGACAATGAGCCCAAATGATAGAAAAGAAAGAAAATTGTCCGATTGAGCTGTCTTTTTCTCCAGATATATCAATAATCCCTTGACGTTGTCTAAACCGCCACACCATCGAAAAGTGATTTGCGAGAGAAGAAAACAACTTGCAAAAGCCGCTCTGAATGGGAGATAAAAGGAAGAGACTAATGGTGATACAACAATTAACAAATATACGTCGGTGGGGTAAGCATGCTGTTCAAGACAGCACTAGCGAGTGTCAATGGTTCTTGAAGGGCCACACAGAGAGAAAGGGAGGGAGTGAGGGAGGGAGCAGTGTCCCTTCTTTCTACGTAGGAAGACAGTGGGAGCAGGGGGATGGTAACGAGAAGGGGGCGACACTTCCAATGGAGAGGAAGGATGAAGACACTGTGCTGGGGTTCCAGTGCCGTCTTCGAAATCGTATCCCTGAACACAGAGAGAGAAGCAGAAGGGCAGGCAAGAGAGACAACCAGACAGACAGACAGAGACAGAGAGAGACAGAGACAGAGAGAGACAGAGAGAGACAGAGAGAGAGAGAGAGAAAGAAAGAGAGACAAGAAAAAAAAAAGGAAAGTGCCTCCTTATCTCGATCTGACGGAAAAGATGAGTCTCATGATGACATACGTCGTGGATGTAATGGATAGACCGACAGTGATCTGCTAATACATAATCAACGAAGTGATACTTTTGTCTCGCATTCACCAGGGACTTGATTGATGCGTTGATGGAATGTCGCTCATTCGCACCACTGGCGGCCTCCCCCCCCCCCCCCCCCCCCCCCCCCCCCCCCCCCCCCCCCCCCCCCCCCCCAAAAAAAAAAAAAGCACAAATGAGACAATAACGTCAACGTGGTGCGCGCTAAAGGCCGCAGGAGAGTGGAATATGAAAGAGACCCAACGTCAGTGGCTCCCCTCGACGCGGAAGGGGTATGTGCGAGGGGGGGGGAGTAAGTGAAAGAGAGTCGTCCAAGGAACTCGTCAACGTGAAGGCTTCACACAGATCGAGTGTAACCTGAAGACCTGATGGAGGGCAAAAAACGCACACGAAGTAAAGGAAAACCTGTGCAGAGTGCGGAGAGAAGAGACATGATAAGAAATCAAGCGCACGCGTAACGACGGCGCTGACCTCGTTCGCGTATCACAGTCGACATAGATTGAGAATCATAACGCGATGAAAGAGAGAGAGAGAGAGAGAAAGAAAGAGAGAGAAAGACAGAGAGGGAGAGAGCGGAGACAAAGAGGGAAAACGCCACGATATCCCCTTCCTATTCGCTATTTCACTGAATTTTCTTGAGAAGAAGTCATGGTGAGAGAGGCAGCCCCAACCGTCCTCCAGTGCTCGCAGGGAGAGAGCAGCTAATTACACCGTCGAGGAGGAAAAGGAGGGAACGCCGTCGGTGTAGAGGGAAATGAACGTTAGCACACAGGGAAAATAAATGAGGAGAGGAAAAAAAAACCATCCGCTACTACTGTAGTGGCTAATCAGTGACCTAAGCTATGGTGGAAAACACAGATCGGCTCGGAAAAAACGGGACAACGAAAGTGCATGTAGCCCGGGTAATTCTGAGACACCTAATTTGACCACAAGGGCAGGGCAAAGGGGTTTTATAATACGTTCCATTACACCTACTACGATTTCTGAGGGACATGAGTGGAATATTGGGATTCTCTATTTATAGACGAGTAGATAACAAATCCTCGAGAGAAAACTCCGCTAGGGACAGAGGAATCTGAGAGCGACGAGTCACGATTGATACCGAGACTGGGCCGCGCTCTACCACACTCTCAAACTGTCAAAAAGGCAAAACATATGCGAGTGACCTCTCTCCACTTTCTAGAAAGGTCATAACGCCATTTTCAATCATAACGCGATGAAAGAGAGAGAGACGAAGAAAACATATGCGGGTGGCCTCCTCTGTGTGTTTTCTAGATACACGCCATTTTAAAAATTTGGTGAGGGTGGCGCAACGAGGCCGACTAACTACAACGCGCTTGCTATGTCTAAGAGGAGGAGGGAAAAAACGACAAGGGAGGAGAATCTGCGACCGTGGCGTTTTGCTTGCTCACAAATTGCGTTGGTCAATCCCACTCCATACGCATCGGGATAGACAGAGAGCAAGAGAGAGACGAAGAAAACACACAGAGGGGGAAACAAGAAGCAATAGAAGGAAGAGAGCACCGGGCTGGACAAAACCACCGGCAGCAGAAGGCGGGCCCAGACACGTGGCAAAGAGATCGGCAAAGAACATCTACTACGACACGCGCTGCTGGCTCTGCTCTCATCAGTGCAGCCTGTGAATAGCGCGCACACAAATCGCACACAGCCAATTAAGCACACAATGGCACACACTCACACTCCCTCAAACGGACATCAATGAGCGCACGGGGGCGCTCGAAGACGGGCGTCCTGCAACCTTAGCTTGCAAAGACAAGGCACACAAAAAGCCGGGGCAAGGATAAACGACGAATACCCGGAAAAGAACACGACTTCTCGCTGGGAAGCTACGCGCACGTGCGTACACGAAGTGTGCGCGCTTCCGCCTCCAAATCTGTCTCTCCCAATCGTCAATACCAAGATAGCGGGATGAGGGGAACGACAGCAACGACGGGAAGGAGAGAAACAGAACATGAGAGCACGCGGCCGTGTGGCAGACTCTCGACCGGAAGGAAGGAGGGTGCCAATTTTTCCAAGGGGAGTGAAATTTTAGACTAGTCCCTAATCGACAGAATGAATGGAAGGAGGGTGCCAATTTTTCCAAGGAGGGTTAAAGCTAAGATGGCTACTCAGCCTACTCCTACCGTAGGTTCTTGCTGGACGAGAGGAGAGGAGATGTGATGTGATTAGGACCACAGAGAGAGGAAAGGGAAAGGTGGTGAAAACACCTTTCTTAGACTCTGGCTGAGGAATGTTGCGGCTGGAAGAACCGGAGCTCATCTGCTGTTCCCTCCTCCTGATTCCACTTTCTTATAGGAAACATCATCAAGTGTAACATACCCTCCCTCTCGGCTATGTCGGCGCTTAGGTACAACATCTTCTTCTTGCCACACACAGCATGCCCGCCAAAACGATCATTCTCCTCTTTTCCCGCTTTTTTTTTCCAATAATAACAGTTAAACCCCCGCGATTCGACCAAAACCAAAAAACCGCATATCTCAGTCTACCGGCATCCCCCGCGTAATAACTCTTCTTCCTCCACCTAGACAACACTCCCGCTGCCAGCTACCTACTTTCTCCTCCTGCCCCTCT